CACAAATATTTGTGGTTGGTGAGCACCTCGACCAGGGCCTGCGAGAACGAGATGTACGTCGCCCTCTGTTCAGACAGCAGGCGAAAGATCTTCTTCCGGATAGCTCGGTCCGCCGCCATGAGGAATGGCAAGCCTGGACATTCCGAGCGGAACTGCTCCAATTCCTGCAAGTATTTCAGCGGGCCCTCGGCGCGTAAGAACGCGCAAATGTTGAGGTATTCGAGCGCCATGAAGAAGGCGTGCAGACGGTTGAACAGGGTCGTGACATCTGTGACCGGCTCGGGCTGATCAGCCTTAGAGATGGACAAAAGATCTTCAGCGTTCCGGGAAAGTCCGGACTTGACCACTATAACGTCAGAGCGGGTCCTGATCTCGGCCGGCTCGTAGAATGGAACTATCCCATGGATCAAGAAATCGCGGGACAGCCGCTCGACGAACTTCTTATGCGGCTCCTTGGCGTCGATCAGGATGACGTCGGGATGGACCCTCACAAAGCGACCTGGGAGAGCTCCGGGATCTTGTTCGGGTCCTCCTCCATACGAGCCCGTCGGGAGGCGTACTGCGATTGCTGCGCTTGAGCAGCTTGCCACACCGCCGCCAAGGACATCACGGAGAGCTCCTGTGCTGCCGCATCCGCCCCGAGCGGGGTCAAGTCATCTTGCCACAGCCGGCGGATTGTCGCCTTCGCCGAGGTGAGATCCTGCCCTAGCATTGCGAACATCTCGACCGTGAGGAGACCTTTGTCGGCCGAAAGCCTGCAGAGGGCCGGATCCAGCCCCTGTCGAAGATCTGGCGCAGGTTCAACTTCGGGGTCGCCGCCTCATTCGCGTATGCGGTGCGATCCACCATGGCTGCCTAACGAGCTGTCTGAGAAGAAAAGCTCCGGTCAGGGAAAGGCTCAACTCGAACGGTCATCGTGACTGCGAACAGCTGTGTTCACGGCTCCGTAAAGATCTTACCGGAACACAACGAGCACATCTGAGTACTCGGCGGAATCTCGCCGAGGTCCTCGCACTCGGTGATCGCGTACCGGCCGCAGAGCGTTCGCTCCGTGCCCGTACCATCTATATACATGGCATGATATTTAAGACTCAGATCCTTTGAAGACCCCGCAGCCGATCTAGCCTTGGTGACATAGGTCAGAGCGAGATCTCCGAAGTCGACCAGATTGGTGTCGTCGGCCTCGAACTCTGGCGGAGATTTCCAGTCGGACGCTATCCTTTTCGTGAGCCGCTTGACCATCTCGATCGAGATCTCTTTGCGGCTCCGAGCGTACTTCAGGACCAGCTGGCTCGGATCCTTCCAGTTCGCTTGGAGCCCTATCTCTTTATCGGGCTCCTGCGCCTGGACCGCCGCCGAGAGCAGCGTGACCCGGCAGGAGTGCCAGGTGATCTCCGGCACGATCTTCAGGAGCTCCTTGAGCCGCTCAGGCGAGATGTGCCCCCGCTTCAGATCGTCCGAAGCTGCAGTAGTGAGCACGTACCGCAGCCACAGGATGCTCCGTTGGTAGCTGGCAGGTCGATCGGCGAATCGCTCGGCTGATTCGAGCTCTTTCATGAAGTAGTCGCGATCATCCCAGCCGCGCGCCATCCGTCTTCCATCCAGTCGGATCCGGAGACGGAGACTCTGGCCGCCGCGAATCGCGTTCCCTTCTTTTGTCGCTCGACCTTAGTCTGCCAAACCACCCCATAGAGAGCCTCGTCCTTCAGGGCGAGCGCCTCGGGCACGACGTGGAGCGCGTCGTCGAACCTGAGGGACGAGTAGATCATCACGAGGACCCACCAGGCAAAGAACGCCATGGGGAACTGGCTCGACTTAAAACGAGCGCATACAAACCGCTCGAGCGCCGCCACCAAGATCAGCGGGATGGGAACTGCTTCCCTCGTCTCTTTCCCGCGATCGCCGTAAACCTTCTTCTGCAAGGCCATGATCCGGGGATCGAGGAGGTCGGGCAACGGCAAGCCGATCCGCTTGCAGACCCATTTGACCGCCACACGTACCGAAGGTATAACGGTGGGGCCGCAACCTCGATCGGAGAGATCTAAGAGGTACTTGACGAGCACGTCGGTAGTCAGCGGGATCACCGCTAGGTTCTGCGACCTCGCCCATGTCTCGATCCTCTCCCAGTGACGAACGCACTGCTGGATAGCGCGGAAACCGCCACTCTCGAAGACGATCAGCCTCAATGCATTCATCTCATCATGAGAAAGGGGTGATCCTGGCTTTGGGTTGCCTGCGATCGCGGCGTGCTCGCCGCACCTCTCCACGATCACTTTCAGCCTCATGCCCCACTTCCGTGCCTCGCCGAGCTCGCGAGCTTTAAGCGATGCCTGCGGATCTTCAGGCCTCGGCTCGATCGCCCGCGGCCTCTTAGCGAGCAGGAGGCTCCTTGCCAGTCCCCTTCGACTTCAGTGGCGATCGCCCGAAGACGACCGGAGCTTCAGCTAGGCCGAATCCCAGATCAGTGGCCAGATCAGCCCAGCCCGCTGCCGCCGTGCTACGAACCAGCACAAACAACAGCTCGATCGACGGAACCCACCTGCCGAGCTCCTCCTCGTTCTTCCGCCGATCTGGCGTGTGGAGTTCCTCGAGGGCAGGGACAAGATCAACGAATGCTTGCACACACTCAGCGATCGTCCCGTCCGAAACAGCCGTGAGCTTCTCGAACTGAGCCATCCGAAGATCCACCAACCATTGGCAAAATTCATCCCCGAACAGGGGGAGGGATAGGATCTTCCGAACGGACCTATCCATGCTGGGCCTGAACAGCTGCACGAACGATCGCACGTGCCTGCTAATGGTAACCGAGCGCCGTGCCTGAGACAGGTATTGATCAATCTCACTTCCAGCAGAACATGCGCTGGGATCTAGCGCGCCGAGAGGATCGCTCGGCATGTTTGTTCCGCGGAAGAGCCCGGCTGATCAGCCAGGAGGCTTCGGTCGCGCGGCGCACCACTCTCTTAGGAGCGTGCACAAAAACCGACCATCACCTAGGCTTCGATCGACAACTACTCCGAGGTGTCCATCGTGTAGGGTCCCGTTGTCCATCTGGCCGGCGGGTAAGCCGGGGCGAACCCCTTCGGCACCGATGTCGGGGTAGAGGACGAGGCGGCGATCTCCGGGCCCGTCTCCTCCACCCTGACTGTGCTGAAACCGCTCATACTCCGCCTGCTCCCGATCCTGGAGGACGTCCGTGAAGACCTGCGGCGTGATCGCAGCCGAAGTGCGCGAGAAGCGCATGTCAGCCCTCACGCGATCGCGGGCTTCCGTGACGACCTGCTCGGCGATCTGCGCCTCTTCCAGCTCGCCCTCGGTCGGCACCTGAACAGTGCTCACCCTCTGGTCGAACACCTGCTGAGCCGAGGTGGGCATGTTCGTGAGCGCCGAGGTGACAGAGGAGCCCAGCTGCTGAACCGCCTGCCGAGCTGCCTCATCCATCAGAGCCGGAGGGCCATTCCGAGCCCGAACGGCATTGTTCTCGTCGTGCGACCGGTGGGCGAGCGCCTCCTGCCGCACGAACTCCAGCGGGCAAACCTTGAGCTTGGACCGAGCCCTCACATGGAAGTTTCCCTGATCGACTGGGAACTCATCCGTCGCTGTACCCACTGGCTCCTGCTCGCCGGCGAACGCACTGCGGTACCAGGGGCCGATCACTGCAGAGAGCTGCGCGAACTGCTGGATGTGGTCCGGGCCTTCCACGCGAGCACGTTGGGTACGGCAGGCCTGGATCGTGTTGATCAAGGCGGGCCCCGAGATGTGGCTGACCGTGAGCCAGGTGCCTGGCACGGAGGTCCGCCCGCACTTGAGATCGATCCTGTTGTTCGCGTCCGGGAACCGGAACTCAACACGATCGGCATCGTTGCCATAGCCCTCTCTCGAGGCACGATCGGTAACTCGGAGCTCGCAAGTGCTCATGGCATGATCACTCGCCATTACCGCTCCTCTTGGCCCGATCGTGTAGACTCGGGCTCCGACTTCGAACGAAGTCACTGAGACCTTCCATCCCACGAAGACCGAGATGACGATCGAGGGGCGGAACCACCCTTCGTTGGCCGTCCTGATCAGGACCTCGTCACAGAACTGCTGCTGGACAGAGAGGTCCGGGTCCGAACGGTATCCTCGGAACACCCAGTGGAAAAGGACCTCGTTCCCATTGAAGACCTTCACATCCACATAGGTGGCCGAGGTATCGAACATCACCGGCCATGTGAAAGGCTGGAAAGCCGGGTGCGATAGCGCCCGACTCGCATAGGAGTCCCACTGAGCACATGGGCCCCCAGTCTTCGAGGTCATCGAGAACAGCAGAACTGCTTTGATGCCATCGAGGGTGTAGTTCGCGAACAGCGAGCAATGGTAGCCCGAGTTCGGGGGCATGACCAGATCCCGCTCCGTCAGCACATTGATCGAGCTGGCGGCATTCGAGATGATCTCCTCGGCGAGCCAGTTTTGGAACGGGGAGATCACCCGATCGTCGCGATTGTCGATGACGAGGAGGGAGTTCTGGGTCTCGTCCTCTTCTTCCACCACGAGCTGGCGGACGAACTCAGGCCGCTGAACAGCAAAGGGGTTATGTGCCGCAGGGGCGGGGCGATCGTTGCGATGTCCCCGGCGATCGCCGCGACCCCAGCCTCCGGAGCCCCAATCGCCGGATGCGGCAGCTGGAGCTGCAGGATTCTCGGGAGCCTCCGCCTCGCCTGGAGTATAGAATCCCCAGTTTCCCGGATTCTCAGGCTGACCAAGCCGGCGAGGCAACCCGAACTGGGGAGCCATCGGGGCCGCCGTCTGCCGACCTTGAGCGAAGCCAGCGGGAGGGAACGACATGGCTGCAATCGAGCGAGCCTATTCAATCTCACCTCCCACGCCGATTTTTCGGTATGGCCCGATCGGCTTGAGCCAAAATGGCCACGGAAACATGTATACATATATTTATATGTGTAAAAATACTCACACACACACACACACACACACACACATCATCTAGCTTGTGCCGCTCCAGGCACTGCTCTCCAGCCGTTGCATCGCCACCTCCCGCAGCAACCTTTCTCCAAAGGTGTGTGATTTCGCGCTCATGACAGCAGTCGGATTGAACTCAAAATGTAAACGTATTCAAGTACCTAAACCGAACGATAATGGGCCCCTATACCTCGGAGTAGAAGCAGAAGCAAGCACGAGCACTCCCGGAACTTGGTGCGAGGACTCCTTGGGGTGTGCTGATCCATTGCAAGGCATCGGGAGTCGGTGCGGTATAACCAAAACTCTCAACCCCAATCCGCTTCACCCCGCAGAAAGCCCGAAACTTCGCACAGTGGCACATTGCCTAGCAATCACAGCAACAGCTCTACAACTTGAAGACTACATGTAGTAATCTACCTATCCGTGCTCTGAAAACTCTGAGCCCCCGAATGCCCCAGCACCGACCTGCGATCTAGAGCAAGAACCAAGGGACCCCACTGCCGGTGCCCACGCACCGCGCTGGGCACAGGCGCTGAGGGCAGCGTTGTAGCCAATGATCTTAGATGGTGCAGAGACTTGAACATGAAGTGGCACACGCCCAAAAGGGGTTCGCTCAACCGGATTCTGGGATGCCTTCAGCACGTAAGCATTTCTCGACAGGCCGCTGTGGTCGCTGAGTCAGCGTGCGACCCCTGCTTCAAGTCGCGTAGCAGCCACAAGGCCAGCTGCCACCTGCCGGCTTTCTCACAGGCACTGATCGTAGCATTGAACGCTATCTCATTTGGGATATGCTCGACGATCAGCTGCTCCAGCAACCAGCAACCAATTTGCCACATGCGACTCTTCTCGCACGCGGTGATGGTGGAGCTGTAAGATGCAACCTGCAGTGCTGTGGATTTCGGTGGAGTGTGTTGCCTGGTTCATACAGGAGCCCATGCTGTTTGCAAAGCTTTGCACTTGATTTTCTATTCATGAAACGTGTTTTCCTACCTGCACAACCTGTGCAGCAGTGCACTATAGCATCTTGGCGTAAACATCTGTGGCCATCTTCAACTCTAGTTCTACCGATGACGATGTTCCTGCCCCTCATTGTCATATCATGTACTGTACACGAGGGCTTATTCATCAAGCTGCAAGCTGCTCTATCCTCGAGTTCTCGTTGCTTCTGCCACACCATGCAAGGGCAAACATTTGGCCCAGCATGGCCGTGGAAGGCCATGGATGATGTCTAGAGTCTAGAGAGTCTAGAGAGTCTAGACTGAGGCAGCCACGGTGGCCTGGACGTTCTCGGTCTTCAGGTGACCCACCACCAGGTGAGCATGCTGCCAGGCTCCTGTCTTGGCACAGGCGCCGATGGTTCCGTTGAAGACGATCACATCTGCCTGATATCACACAGATACACACAGAAACTCGTGGCACCACATCCTAGCCTTCGAGCTTGGGCGGGTTCGGTCACACTTACCCACCCGCCTGCACGCCACTCAGCTTCTGCAACATTTCTTGCGCCCGCTCCCACAGCGCATGCTTCTCGCAGGCACTGACTGTGGCGCTGCAGCTGACCAGGTCTACTTCCAGACCGCATGCCACCAAGCTATGCCACATGCGAAGTGCATGGGTCCACAGCCCAATCTCACCGGCACGGATTGCTGCAGTGTGGGTAACAGGGTCAGCCTGCATGAAACGGGGTGTTTCAGAGTGTTAACAGCAATGGCACGCCCTAACATGGAGTCCTGGAGTCGACAAAGCATGCAAGACTCCAAGAATGAGCAATCTTTGAAGTCCAGCCTCCAAGGTGTTGACTTTCAGGAAATGCAGCAACATCGATACATGCCGCCAGCTGCCGCTTACTTGTGCATCTAATACAGGATTGAAAGTTAGCAGGTCAGCTTTCAAAGCCTTCTGTGAAAGATTGCATAGCAATTGCTCCGCATGCTTCCAAGCAAGCCCCCTGCCACTCGCAGAAGTCACGGTATTGTACGTAACGAGATTCGTTCTGAGACCGGGTTGTGCCAGCAACATGATAGCCTTCTGCCACTCTCCACTTCCCCCAAACGCACTAATCATTGAGTTTAGCGCAATAACATCCGGTTTCACGTCCCGCAATGAATCAGCGAACAGCTGCAATGCGGGTCGCCACTCTTCGGCTGTCGCCAACATGCTTAATGCCGTGCTGTATGAAATCAGATCCACCTGCCTCTTTTGCTGGATAAAGTGAAGGAGTCTCTGTGCCTGTGGCCATGCTTCTGCTTCGAAGGTGCTGAGGGCCGTGTTGTAACTGACCAGATCAGATTTCAAACTACGCTCTGGGAGTTCCAGCAAAAGCCGGGCCGCTCTTCGCCACTCTCTTCGGTCCGTTCTTAGGGAGCTGATGACCGCATTGTAAGTGATGCAGTTCACTTCTACCGACCGACCGTGACAGTCGCGAAGGAGAAGCAACGCCTGCTGCCAGTGCTGGCTTTGGCCAAAGGCACGGATGACAGACGTGCAGGTGACCACATCCACCTCCCCGTTCAACTCTCGAAGGAGCGTGTCGAAGAGGCTCAAGGCCCACGACCACTCACCTGCGTTGCCACAGGCGGTAATCACTGAGCTGCAAAGGACCTGATCAGGAAGAACTTCCTGCCCCTTCAGATCTGCCAGCTTCGTTAGGGCTCTCTGCCAATGCACTGCCCTGCCCAGCGACTTCACAGTCGATGTGCAGCTCCGCAGAATGGCGGAATGTGACAAATACACGTCAGCAGCCATGGCACCTGTGCTACCTGAAAAGCTGAGACCGACTTGTCGCTTTGGTAGCACATACCGGGCACATGACGGTTGCCAGCCGCTTCACCAGATACACCCAGCGCTCTTTTGCCCGATCCCCTCGACATGACTTGTGGCAGCTAGGCTCTCACCTCCGAAGTGTGTGGCTATCTGGATGGCCTACGTGCTGTAAAGCTGGATATGACCGAGTTTCTCAGACTGCAAAAAAATCAAGTTCTGTGTCGATCACGTTCCCTGAGCCTGCGCTTTCATGCGCAGCGCATCTTCGACGGTGAGGTTGATAGAGTGAAGGCTCTTTACAGTGTGGAAAAGTTGGCGGGAGTGGTCGTATGAATTACATGCAAACGCGAAGGTCAATATGTCGGAATGCACCTCTTGCAGTTGCATAGCTTCGACAGTCCGTAGCACATATGCCCACGTTCTAGCACCACTGGACTGTGCAAGAGCACTGACCACTGCATTGTAGCTGATCAGACTTGCCTCCAGCTCTTGTCGCCTAAGCTCGGTGAAGAAAAGCTGAGCGTGGTGCCATCTTTGGGCCTTCTCGCAGGCACTGATCAACGAAGTGATGGAAACTGCGGTGGCCTGAATCTGCGAGCGACGTAGCTCGTACAGAAAGTCCCAAGCCTGGCGCCAATCCCCGTTTTTTTCACAAGCGCTGATTGCGGCATTGTAAGCTGCTGCATCTGACTCGAGGCGGCATGCATGCAGCTCCCGCAAGAGGATGCAGGCGTTCTGCACCTGGCCTTGCCGTTCACAAGCACTTATAGCTGCACTATAAGCAATAATGTCTGCCTCCAGTGTCTGTTCCAGAAGCTCTCTTAGAAGGAGCTCTGCCTGCTGCCACTCGCCTTGTTTCTCACAGACGCTCATGACAGAACTGTAGGTAATTACGTCGGGTTTTACGAGCTGCTCCTGAAGTCCATGCAGAAGAGCTCGTGCCCTCTGCCACTCTCCATGTTTCTCGCAGGCATTCAGTGCTGCATTGTAGGACGTGATATCTGGCTGGACCCGGAGCCTCTGAAACCTATCCAGAAGCAGCCATGCCCTGGGCCAGTCTCCTGCCTTTCCGAAGGTGTTGATCACTGTGTTGAGGGTAACAGTACTAGCGCTGAACCGCTCTCTGTCGAACACGTCGAGAAGTGCCTGAGACCTATGCCAACCGAAAGGTTCGCAATTACTTAACAGTGAGTTGTAAGCAACCACATCTGCTTGCACGCTATTGCACCTCAAATGCTCCAGGGTCAGGTGGGCTTCCAACCAGTTCTCATCTTTACAAGCAGCAATAACGGAGCTATATGTGATGATGCTAGGCTTGAAGTGCCTTCTCGCAAGCTCGTCAAGAATTTTTCTCCCCATTTGCCAAATTCCAGGGTCTTGACATGAGCTGGCTGCAGAATTGTATGTAATCTCATCCGTCTGCACCCGAGATCTCAAAGCAGCTTCCAACAGAAGCTGTGCTCGATCCCACTTCCCATCGCTGTGCACAGCAACAGCTGCATTTAGAATGCGAGTGTTGGGTGAAAGCCAGTCACATCGAAGCTCGTGTAGGAGCTCTGTAGCTCGAGACCAATCCCCTTCTATCGCACATGCACCCAGAGCAGACCCGTAGACAAAAACGTCCGCCTGCAGCCCAACGTGCTTGAGCTCTTTAACCAACTGTATCGCACATCGCCACGACGTGCCCCTGGTGCAAGCACTGATGGCTGACGTGAAAACCATGGCATCCAATGCTACGGCTTGGCAGGACGCCTCTCTGAGCAGGTGGAGCACTTGGGGCCAACTTGATCGTCTGCACGCCCCGATGGCCAAGGTGCACCTCAGCGGTGCGACACTGGATTAGGTCAATCCACACGGACGACAGGCTCACGGTGCAGTGCAATACGAACACGGCGAAACTAAGTTTGCAAACGGGAAAAGCCATAAACGAATGTGACGACTCAATGGATTGATCAGTCGCGACAAGGCACTCTTTTAGCTGGTGCCGGCTGGCTCCACATCGTGATGACAATTGCGAAGCAGCAAAGGGCGAAAGCATAAGTCAAGCTCCCCCAGCAATCAGACAAATGTTGGCCCTGACCCTCGTGAGGGCGAATCCATGTTCATGGTGCACTGATTCTTGGGATACATCACCCGATCTGACTGCAATGAGTGCACTGGCGCCACTCGACCTTGCATGGGTGCGGGGAGTGTTCACCTCCATCATCGTTTCGCTAGATGCAGATACCAGGGGCCGGGTATGGAGAGAGGTATGAAGGGTGAAACAAGCCCTTATATCTTCGAACCAACGGACAGCGGGTGACAGTGCGAGCAGTTGGAGCACATGCGAGGCACTCATGCAATTTCAAGCACTGTCATGCAGTGCTGTTCGACAGCCTTCTTCCGATGCTACCACCACGGCAACTCTCAACTCCAGCTCGCAACTGGCGTCGACGGCATGCAACAATTGCAAGACTACCCTGAATTAGCCGATCCATGAGCAACAACATCAGCTCAAAGATCCTGCTCGATTAGAGATACAAGTAGAAAGTAGGAAGGGTGCCAGTTTCCACACTTCTCACACGAGCCAACGGCCCGCGTTGCAGGTAAGGATGTTGATTTGCACCATCCCTACCTGAGCCTCAAGCAGATGAAAAGGGGCTTTCTCCAACTGTTCGGCCTGCTCATGTGCGCTGATGAGCCAGCCATAAGAGATCACATGGGGCTTGAGTTGCTCGCCCTTTACCCTCTGCATCAAGAAGAAAGCATGGTGTGCTGATCATGGCGTTGTATGTCACTACGTCTGCCTGGAGGATGTGCCTGTTAAACTCAACATGCAGAAGCTGCGCACGGTGCCAGGCAGCACCCTTCTCACAGGTGCTTATGAATGAATTTACGAGGATGCCTGTTCAACTTCAACTCGCAACGCTGCAGTTGTCCAAAAAATAGCAAAGTCAACTTCGCCTCTTCCCATTTGCCGGCTTTCTCGCACGCACTGTCCAGGCAATTGTGAGTGGTCAAACCTGCCCGTACTTGCTGACATCGCAACACCACGATCTCCGCTCTTCTCGCAGAAGGTGGCCACAGGGTTGGTGGTGATCACGTCTGCCTGCAACTGTTGCAGCACCTTTACCTGCTCAACAGCTCGTCTGCATGTCCCATGTCTTCCACAGGCACTTATCGTAGAGTTGAAAGTGAGTAAGTCTGCCTGCAGACAGTTCAGCTGCCTGTTGCAGAGCAAAGACTGTCTGCCAATGTCCGAGTTTCTCACCAGCAGCAACTGCGGCATTGAAAGTAACCGTGTTTGATCTGACGCTTCGCTTCCACAAACAGTTGGCACTAGCATGCGTTTGCGGCCAGTAGCCAGCATTCGCACATGCCGTCACATGCTGACCACATCTCCTTGCATGTGCCCAGCAATTGCAAGTTCCTGTCTCCACATACCGATTCGCACACAAGCAAAGGAACCTTATACCATCTGGTCAGTGGCGATCTGATCTCTACATAGCCTGTATACTGTTCAATGGCAACATGAATCCCGAGGTTGCCCAAGCTTCTCGACGGACCAAAACACAAAAGCAGGAGACAAGGGGCCTAGCAAGCAAGGCAGTGCCCGGCTGCCACCATCCTGCTTTTCCATGCTTTGTGATGGTAACCGTGCAAGACTTCAGATCGTGTCGGACGAGGCCATGGGACGCGAGACATAATGTTGATCACATGCGCTCAAGCCGAAGTTACACGTGTTAGCAGTTTTTCAGGAATTCTTATCTGCCGCATATTAAAGAACCTAAGGCATGTCTGGACCTTATGATGGCTGCAATTTGAAATTACGGAACATGCCATGACCACCACTAGCAGTCAGCAGCTCCTCCCAAGACTTTACGTAAATCGAAGCCCCTGCCGATCTCAAGCCGTCCGAGACGTCGCATGCTGATGAGCACCTGCTCTGAAGTTTATTTTGCAGTGCCCATTGTCAGAACAGAGCCATGGACCAGTAGGGTGTACCGAACGGGTTGGCACTGGTCTGTTGCCACGCCTCATATCGAAGACAAAAGTCAGGCAGGGTTGACGGTGGCTGTCGCTGCTTGTGGTAAATGTTACCATCCGCACCATAGCAGTTTGTATCACTGGCTCTCGGGCAGTATCAGTAGGCTTCAAAATCTGAGCGGCTGGCTTGAAGCGGAGATGAAACGACAAATGTTCAAAACGTACACTGAAGATTCTCTGTGAAGATATCGCGCAGGCGGCCTTGCGTTCAGGGTCACATCCCACCAACAGACTCTCACATTTTTGCTGCGATGACTCTAAGCCTTGTCGAACCCGCGTAAAGTGTGTTCACCACAGGCTGTAGCCAGGTCATGAACCCTGAAACTTTAAAGCAAATGAGCCAAGTAATTGGCCTTCACAAAATGCTATTCCTCCGATGCCGGACCCTTTCCAAGACGAAGCAAATGCCAAGGAGTGAATTGCCTAACACTGCATCCGATCACTCGCACAGAGATTGAGCATGATCATGTGACTGCAAATTGCATTAGGGACCTTCCTAGGTTTCGCTTTGAAGACTTTATTTGGGATGAAGGGTTGTTTACGCTTGGAGAGTCGCGGGGCTTCAGCCTAGGAATGCTGCGAAGTCGCTGCACTCGAGTGCCACTGCATCCATCACAAGACAGAGTCGGAGTCCTTGGTGGATTTTCGCAAATTTTGATAGGCGGAGGCTTCTGTCCGGTGCTCATTGAGAGCTTGTATGTCGAATTCACAAGGTCCACCTCTGGAGTTTGCCAGGCTTCGCGCCCTGTAACTTCAGCAAGCACCACATTTGCAGCAGCTTCGCAGACAGCGGGAACTGCGGGAACAGTCAAAACCTCACACCCTCGCGGTTCAAATCAACTCACACCGGCACTGTGGAGACGCCCTAGATCCAAACATTTAGACCGGACCTGAACCCTTGCAAATCCGGAGTGTGGTGGAGTTGATTTCGGCCTTCGGCAAAATTGAATCGTCACAGTGCGTAGCAGCACCGTGCACATGATGATAAACAAGGACTCTCAATACGGGAATGCTCTTGCTCCAAAGCAGCCCTTCATGGCCCCATAGCCGCCATTGCCACTGCCGAAATGCATCTGAATGTCTTGATCACGCGCTTCCATCAGCTCTATATAGCGAGAGCCCATATACTGAAAATTCTTTTGGCTCCAGGCTCGTTTGGCCTCGGCTTCGGAGACAAACTCTACGAAGGCGATGCCTGTAGTCTGACCGGCGGCATCAGCTGGAAGATGCATTCTTCCAGACAGCCCGTAGCCCATAAAGAATGTCTGCACGTCCTGTCTCGATGCAGAAAACGGCAATCCCTGAACTCGCAGCACCTTGCCTGCAGGGGCTTTCGACTTGTCCCAGCCTCCTCCTCTGCTTCCCCCGTCGCCGCCCTTGCCTGCAGTGCCACCACTCTTGCCACTCCAGCCTGCGAAAGCGCTCATCATCTGCAGGAAATCCATCATGCTGTCCTTCATACCCCCATTGCCATCGCCGAAACAACCATCAAGATCTCGATCTCGGGCATCGAGCAACTCTATGTAGCGGCTGCCCATGTGCTGCATGTTCAAGTCAGACTTTGCTCTCTTAGCATCTGCCTCGGAAGCAAACTCCACGAATGCAATGCCCGTTTTCTGTCCAAAGGCGTCGAGTTGAAAGTGCACTCTTCCAGACAAAGCATAACCTGCGAAGAACTGCTCAATCTCGTTTTTCGAAGCAGAAAATGGCAGCCCTTGCACTCGCAGCACCTGCGCTGCAACAGGTCTGGCCTGGCTGGAGGACAAGCAATCAAGGTCTCTTTCTTTGGCATCCAACAACTCGATGTAACGGCTGCCCATGTGCTGCCTGTTCAGCTCAACTTTTGCTCTCTGAGCATCAGTCTCCGAAACAAGCTCTACGATTGCAATGCCCGTGGGCTGGCCAAACCCATCAAGTTGTATGTGCATTCTTCCGGACAACCCGTAACCGGTGAAGAACTGCTCAATATCCTGTTTCGAAGCAGAGAAAGGGAGCCCCTGCATACGCAGCACCTTGCCCACCGTGGGTCTGCTATGGCCGTTGCTCAAGGCAAGACAATCAAGATCTCGATCTCGGGCATCTAGCAACTCTATGTAGCGGCTGCCCATGTGCTGCATGTTTAAGTCAGACTTCGCTCTCTGCGCGTCTGCTTGCGACGCAAACTCCACAATGGCGATGCCGGTACGCTGACCAAAAGCATCAGCTTGTATGTGCAGTCTTCCGGACAACCCGTACCCTGCGAAGAATTCCTCAATTTCTTGTCTTGATGCAGAAAATGGCAGCCCCTGAGCTCGCAGCACCCTGGCCGTCATGCCACCTCTCGGGCTCCAACCTTTTGCAGGCCCTGGTAGCGTGCATTGAACGGCCGGTTCTGTCTGACTTGGAGCCACGTCGAAATTTGTACGTAGGGCTGCAAGCTACGAACAGTGAACGGGAACCATGCAGACATGCTGTGTTTCTCAATCGCACAGTTTTCGCAAATGATTTAACTTTCGACATCATCATTAACCAGCTCAACTTGTGAAGGCTTTTCTGAATCTGCACTGCCAGCCGTAACAAACAACGTTGGACGAATTTGCAAATGGGTTCATCCTGACCCGCGCCGATGATGTTGATGATCATGGTAATGATGCTGATGATGATGACGATGATGGCGGTGGTGAGCTTTGGTACTATGGTACCCGTGCTGTTGTTGTTCAAAAGCACAATCGCCTTTTGCATTCCCCCAACACGCCCCGCAGAGCTATGCATCACGACTTATGTTTTGAAAACACAAGCACGTCAACATGAAACGCTCAATTCCGCTCAATCAACCACACTGCACAAACCAACACAGCTGATATGTCTATCAAGCAGAAATACTCAGCACGTATCAGATATGAACCGTTCAACAATAGAACTCAATTCCTTATCACTCACAGGACCGGCAGAAAATTTCAATCAAATGGAATATCTTCAATAAAAGAATCTTCAATCAAATATCTTCCACGCAGATCGCTCTCTCTTTTTCCATGTGGGGATGACGAAGTCTCCGTCCTTGTGAGTCATTCCAAGATCTTTGTCCCGACAGATCGGGTCACTGAAAGCGGAGAGAACTTTCCCCCCCGCTCAGAGGTTCAGCCTTAGAGGTTACAGCCTGACAGGGTGACGAAGCTTCGGCTGTGCGCTCTCTGAGAAGTGGACTAATTGCCAGGAGAGGTTTCTGGTTCCTCCTCTTCGTACTCGCTGCTGTCAGTGAAGCCTGTTGGTTGAAACCAACGCCTGAACAGCGCTCGGAAGACCTTGGCAGTCGCGCTGAGGCGACGTTGTCTTCTGGTCCTCAGGTACAAGCTGACGGTGCACCAGATCTCTGGAATTTGTAAGACTCGCATGACTGAAGAAAAAGGTGCGGGTGGGCGGGCTTTCGAAATTTTCTGCCCGGCTCCGACTTGAGCAACGTTCACATGCAGGCACATCACACATGCTCAATGCAGCAAAACGTTTCTGCCTAAACAAACACGTTCCTTGTTTGTTTTCCATGATCGTGATAAAACACTAACTCGTCCCTCGCACGTAAGCTTATCACTCACAGGACCGGCAGAAAATTTCAATCAAATGGAATATCTTCAATAAAAGAATCTTCAATCAAATATCTTCCACGCAGATCGCTCTCTCTTTTTCCATGTGGGGATGACGAAGTCTCCGTCCTTGTGAGTCATTCCAAGATCTTTGTCCCGACAGATCGGGTCACTGAAAGCGGAGAGAACTTTCCCCATCTTTTATAAGATCGACGCTTACCGTGGACCGTACTGCGTCGGGAAAGTCTGGGAGAGCCTCGATCCTAACTCTCGAGGGTTCATCCGCGATGTTCGATTTTGACGGGACTCTCGCGATCCAGGGTACAGTCCCCGTCTTGAGCTCATATGCGGCTTGATGCTTCAGCAAGTCGTTTGCGACTCTGTTAGCGCTTGCTCCAGTCATAAGGCAGGCTTTGGCGCCTTCATTATCACAGTAGCATACGACTCTCATTCCTCTGAGGGCCTCGCCCCAAGCCTTGAACGCCAAGCAGACTGCAGCCAACTCGAGCAAGAAGATGCACTTAGACTCTAGGTCTATTCCCACCTCAGCAAGCTCAGCTGAGCTAGGGAAGTACGAGAAGAACCTCAGGGGCTCTCCAGTGGGTCCGCACAGGACTCCGCCTATTCCCGCGACGTTTCCTTCCTTAGTCGGTTCCAGGGACGCGTCAGTGTATATAAAGACGCAGGGCCTCTGACCCAGGAGAATCGTCCTCGCTGGGGCGAACTGAGCGATGTCAATGTACATCCGAAGTGCTGCGGAGATGCT